GCGTGTGCGCGCTCTCATGTACATGTGTTTGCATATGTGTGCACTTGCATGTGTGGGTGTACCACGGTGGCTAGGCTAGCTGATAAGTGCGCACCAGGGTTCCCTGCTGCTTCTGCTTCCCTAGTAGTACTAGAATTATAAGTCTCTTTTCCAAAGCTTGACTTCTTCGACTTGAATTCAAGTTCTTATGCCTGCAAAACAAGCATTTTACTGGCTGAGCTATCTCCCTAGCTGACATTCTAACTTTGAAATAAAATTGTTTGCTTATCATGTTATTATTTACTATCTATTACTATATTATTGTGTGACTTTTCTGTGTGAATAATTTATCAGCTATATCATCAGTATGACTGTTATGCATTTTATGCTAACACATAGTAATAGATCATTAATTTCTTAAACAGTGGAAGATTACTCTTCTGTTTACAGATGAGTAAGTAGAAGATAGTTTTTTTTAATGTTTATTTTATTTATTTATTATGCATACAATATTCTGTCTGTGTGTATGCCTGCAGGCCAGAAGAGGGCACCAGACCCCATTACAGATGGTTGTGAGCCACCATGTGGTTGCTGGGAATTGAACTCAGGACCTTTGGAAGAGCAGGCAATGCTCTTAACCTCTGAGCCATCTCTCCAGCCCCAGAAGATAGTTTTTAAAACACAATTTTGTAATTGGTGCAAAATTGCCATTTATTCCTTATGGCATTTCTGGAGGGCACTATTAGACAGTGAATGTAGTATTTTGCCAATATTAGCTAATATTTTCTGGAAACTTTTTGTAAAGTAAAGAAATGGACAGTTTTTGTAATTCCTGATAGATGTAGGGGGAACTTGTTTGCTTTTATTCTCATTTTTAGTGTTTCTTAGTGGAAAAGGTCTGGGTTATGAGGAAATGCTAGGGGATGGGAAGGTGACAAGATCAGATTTGCATGTTCTTTTAAAAGATTTCCATTCTTAGTATAGCTGACATTTGTAATGCCAGTTGAAAGCTGGTGCCTGGCCAAAAATGCTTGTGAAATAGTTGTGGTTTAGACTTCAACTATAAAAAGACAGGTAGGCAATAGTAACTGAAGGGGTTTAGTTATTCTTTCTTAATGTTACCACTCTCATGCATACACACACATACATGTGTCCTGGAGATAATCTCTCTCCTTATAAAGATATTTTATTTCAGTGAATGGTTTAGCTGGAGATCAGTGCATGCCTTTTCTAGTTCTGGTCTGTGGTAGACCACAGTGACCCGAGGTATACTATTTATTCATTGGCTACAACTGCATAGCGGTGGGCCTAACAACCTCACTCTACATAACCGTGGAATGCATCAAATGCTGTGATTCAGGAGGTTAGAAGAGTATATAGAATAGGAGGAAACATATGTACAGGACAGGGGAAACTTTTTAAAAATAAACATGAATATATGTTACAAACATGAAAAATAGAGTTTGTATTTCATTTCACCTATAAACATGCAGTGTATATGTAAAGAAGTAAATTGAAGAAAACAAATTTTATTTGTGTAAAAACTTAAGACAAGAAGTGTCTTTTAAAGAAAATCTGTGTTGAAAATAAAGATTGGAATATATATATTGTTTGGAAACTGGTGGATGCTAAGCAGATTTAGTGACTGGTAGGCACTAGAACTCTTAGATTGTAGAGTGGGCTTGTTTTGGCTCTTAGAGATTATAGTGACTCAGTAGAGTTTTTGTCTTTTTCAAATCAGAAACATCATTGGACGTAATAATTCAAAAACCTGATGCTTCATAGTCGTCCTTTATCTTTTTTCATGTGTAAAAACATGAGTTTTCTGTTTTCAGGAGCTTGGAAAAAAATGTTTCCTTTTGTACCAGGTTGACTCTATTGTTCTTGAGCTATATAAATGGAGAGGCCTCTGCATCGTGCATTGTATCATGCACAGCCATTTCTTTTAATTTGAGTATAATTGTTCCTTAGCAAATAATTGCAGTCCAGAATGACTTTTATTGAACTTGATTGAATTAGGGGTATGTATGAGAATGAGTTGGTTAGCTTAATCTATTATCCAGAGAATTGATGAAAACATCAGAAAAGCAGTCATTCATGGGGAATAAATATGCTTCTGTGTAAGTGGGCGCATAGTTACCTTGGGATCCTTTCCGCACTGACTGAGTAGTGGCAACATTGGGGTGCATAGTACAATTATGGCTTAGAAGTTTTTTGTTTTGTTTTTTGATAATATACCTTTGAATACTATGCTGGACATTAACACTAATTAGAGGTCTGTCTCAAGGTAAGAAGTGAGACCTCACATTTTCTAGTATCACAGGATTTTCAATACACAGTTCCCCAAGGGCTGGACTGTACCAGAAAGCTGTTTACTCCAGGATATTTCATCAGTTGATTAAGCTATCCTTAGGATAGGTTTGTCACTTGCGCTGTTTGTGATAAGAGGTGAATAATATATGTTTAATAGACGGTGTTTTCACTTGCCATGATAGCTTCTCAGAGCATATCGATGTTAAGATGTGTTATATCAGGGTTGCCCTGGTAGGCAGAATCTTGGGTGTGGAGCAGAGGTCTTGAAAGTGGAAGGGACACCCATTGAGCCAATGGGAGCTGACCATGGAAAAAGTTAGAATTCTAAGGTTCTGTGGGGGTGAGCAGGCTTGACAGGAAGCCTAAGTAAGACTCAGAAAACACAGGTAGATACTTGGTTGTTCAAACAATAACCTACTTAGGCTTTGAACTTAAGGTACATTCAAATCACCATTGGGTTCGCTTGTATGAGGGCTAATGTCCCCCACCCTCCCTCTTTGTGTGTGTGTGTGTGTGCGTGTGTGTGTGTGTAGGTCAGAGGATGATTTGTGTGAATCTCTTCTTTCAACATGTGGGTCCTGTAGATGCGACTGAGGTCTTCTGACTTTGGTGCCTTTTATATGAGCTATTTTTCTAATTATAGATTTTTTAAAAATAGTATTTTAAAATAATTTTTATATCTTATGAAAATATAGACTTTTATACCACTTATTTGTTCAGTTTTGGAGACTGTTATGTTTACTTCCTAAAACAGACATTTATTTTGGATATATTCATGTATATCTAAATCATTCATTCTTTTATATATATATTATATGAGAATATATATAACACATATAACATTGGTGTTATACATATACATATAATATCTCCTTTGTAGTTAGCTTAAAAATAACTGGCTTTCCCACTCCCAGCATTCCCTAGTTATTTGTCTATGGATTGGAGCCCGTGAACTTTCTCTTTCTTAGCATGTCCCTCAGTGTTTAAGTTTAGGTCTCTTTTAGGTAGCCATGTTGGGTGTAGCTTCCCTGACATTTCTAGGAGACACACTCTCACTACAAGCTTCCTGTTCCTCTGGTTCTTAAAATATTTCCATTCTTTCTTCCATAATGGTCCTTGAGCCTTAGGTATTGTGTTATAGATATATCAACTGAGACTGGGAACCCCAAACTCAGTTGGTTTCTGCATTTTTATCAGTTTTTCATTTCTGTAATGGTCTCTCTCAAAAAGAGAGATTTCTTTGTAGGTGAGAACTACCCTTATCAGTGGATATGAGGATAAATATTTAGAATGTAGTTAGGAATTATGGTGGTTTTATCCAATAGCAAGGAGTCAGCTCTAAGATCATCATATGCATACAGGTTGCATCATATAGAGTGAGCATGTTGTGTTTGTATATTTAGGAATATATGTCTGTGTATAGTAATAATTAAGAAGAGGCCATTAATTTGAGATAGAACAACGGATGGTGAATAGAAGGGGTTGAAGGAGGGGAAATGATAAAATATTTTAATTAAAAATATGCCAGGCAGTGGTGGCACACGCCTGTAATCCCAGCACTCGGGAGGCAGAAGCAGGTGGATCTCTGTGAGTTCGAGGCATCCTGGTCTACAAGAGCTAGCTCCAGGACAGGTACCAAAGCTACACAGAGAAACCTTGTTTCTAAAAACAAACAAACAAATAAAAATATTATTAAAAATGACTGATTTACAAATTTTAGCCTTATTATTTTCAAATATCTGGAGATGACTCAGTAGTTTCTGGTGTGAAAATATGAGATCATTTAATGTTCATTATATCCTCTGCTAATAGCAGTGACAATCATCGATTTCTGACTGAATAACTTCATTGAATTATAGCACATTTTTGATATTTGATTGAAGAGCCGTATCTTACATATCCATGTTGACTGATTAAGAACAAAGCAAAAAACATTTAGATAAGTCATAAAATAACTGATTAAGGAGCTCTAAGTCAGTAATTAATATTCAATATGTATAGCATCTTTCCTATTTAGTTGAGTATGGATTTATTACCACTGAAGCAAGCTAGAAATTGTTTCAGAAAGAACATGAAATAACTGATTCTTAAACAGAATATGATTTCAGAATATGTCTGTAACTTCTGTTTAATCTCTGAATCATTTGACTTCATGTTTTGTTGCTATTTGACTATCTTCCATTTCCTTAGTTATTTTATAGTTAGAAAAAAAAAATTTTGTCCCGTTTGATCTGTACCCCTTACCCTTCGCTGTTTTCTTTTTTGTCCGTTTGTATCACTTTATTTCATTCATTATGTTTAAAGAAATCAAAGACAGTACCACAGAATTCAAGTTTCTCTAGCTGAGTTGGGACAAAAAAAAGTAACTTGAATTTAGTGTGAATGTCAAATTCACAGTTTCCTACCTAGCAGGAGGTTTGTCTGTAAATGTCCATTTCATTTTAGCCAAAGTTGGGAATTGATTGCCTATAATTCTGAGTCTAGGTAACTTGACTCTGCCTTGAGTAATTGTAGGGACTGTCTTTTTAATATTAAAGTCAATGATAAACAGTTTGGGTCATTTTCTCTAAAAACCAGTGGTTAGCAAAGGAATATTTGACCTTTTATCTGGGATTATTTGGCCAAAGGAGATGTGTGGTCTTTGTTTGAAAGGTCTTTGTGGCTCTCATTTTAAGTGTGGCTCACACTTTGCTATGTGTCTCCCACAGAATCCTGCTGCATCACAGAAGCCGGAAGTTCTGATGTTCCATTGAAATCACAATGGAAAGTCTTGACTTGACTGGTAAGAGCTGCTCTGGACATGCATCTTTCTTACATACCTGGAAGCAGTGAGGCAGTCAAGAACCATGTGCTATCAGAGCTGGTCTCAGCCTTTTCCCATTCGATGGATTCACCTTCCATATTGATCCGGGAAGTGTGACCCTTGTACAATTTCTCATGTCAGTGTTTTTGTGTGTAGCATTTTAATCTTCATCAAGTAAGTTAAACTTCTTATAGAATCATGAATTTTAACTTTGCAAAATCTCTTGTTTCATTACAGCTTGCGTTATAGGTACAAGTCAATCTGTTGAAGTTCGACATAAATTGCCCACCTAACAGATACCTAAGTGGTTAATCTGTCTTGAAGCAACTTTTCATATAGTATTAACCTTAGGTAAAAGATGAACCAGCAGCCATTATTACCTAATGACAATAATATACAAGTGTGTGGCTGTACCACTTAAAGTATGAAAATACTTAATGAAGAAAAGTTTGGGGTTGTAAAATAATGTACACGTGAAAAATTGTATCATCCTTCGAAACACAATCTGTCCTTTTGTACAAAACTTATTTTTTAAACTTTTGCTTTAGAAAAAAAGTTCTTTATCAGCTTTAAAATATAACAATAATACTTTAAAGTTAGTTTTAGTAATAATGATATTGTAGTTTTCCCAGTTTTGGAATAGAGTATATGATTAGTGATACATGAATACTGTGTTGTGAATAGATGTTTTAAGGTTATAGAAATTAGTGTGAATTAACATAACCAAGTAGATTACATAATCCTATCACAGCTTTTAAGAAAGATACTTACTTAACTTTCCAGAATTTTTTCCTGTTCTAAAACATTTTTGTAGCCTATTAAATGTCTAAAATAATTACATCTACTTTAGTTTTTGAAGAAGTATATTACTGGATGTTACTCTTATGCTGGAGCATAAGTATATTGCTTCTATTCTTTTGAATGTCATTGGGTATAATACCTAGTAAAAGCATATAATTTTATTTAATATATATTTATTGTAAGCACATTTAAACACCAACAAAATCTTAATATGATTAAGAGCAGGCTTTTGTTATTGTTTTTCCTCTACACTGTACCATCTTTTAAGGTTTCATTTTTACTGATATAAATTCTGGCTTTGAGAAGGCCAGTCTGAACACAAGCTTTTATTGAGTTAGTAGGCTACAATATGGGATATTTGACAGTTGATCAGAAAATGTTCTGTATGTTTTTTATTGCTAATCCAAAGGAGAATTTAAGGAGGCCTAAAGAAAAATTTGTGTCAGCGAGTCTCTTACATATAAGAGCATATGTAAAAAATAAGGCAGGACATTTTATTTTACCTATTCAGAAAACTAAGCCATAAATAGGCCATTTTATAACAAGTTTGACTAAGTAGTCATGTGACCTTTGATTTATGAATGAACTAATTTTTTGCAATAAAAGTATGTTACAATGACTCTAAATAGAAATAGACAGAAATTTAAATTGTTGATAAATTTTAAGATGAAATTTATATTTATATGTGTGTTTATATACATCTTAAATACATCATAAATATAGTAATAGGAATCAGAAAAGATGACATACAAAATCAAGAGTAATCTGGGAATTGACAATGGATGTCAGGGTCTAGTAAATTGAGAAACATCAGTCAGCTTAGACAAAGTTATGTTTCGTTATCACGTGTCTTAGCCAGTGTTGTATTACTGCGAAGAGACATTATGACCATGATACTTTTATATAAAAGAGAGCATTTGATTGGGGGCTTGCTTGTAGTTTCAGTGTCCATTCGCATTATAGCAGGGAGCATGGCAACACACCGGAAGACATGGTGCCAGAGAAGTAGTTGAGAGTTAAACCAGCAGGCAGCAGGAAAAGAGAATGACTTTGGAATTGGCAGGGCACCTGAAACCTCAAAGTCCACCCCTAATGATGCATCTCCCCGACAAGGCCACGCCTCCTAGTCCTTTCAGATACTTCCACTCCCTGAGCATTCAAACAAATGAACCTGTGGGAACCATTTTTGCTCAAACCACCACATGGAGTTCCCAAATTTTCATGGTGTGTTAGGGTAAAAGTTATTTTCCTTTTTTGTTCACAGTCATGGCTACTCATGCTCTTTATTCAGGGAATGAAACTGAAGGAGCATTACCTTGTGAGATACAACCTTAAGGTTGAAAGAACAGCGATTGTAGATTCATAGCTTTAAAATGACTGTGGAGTGATCTATGCCATTGTCTTTCATATTTCATTGCCCCAAACAGATGACTTGGTCAAAAATGTTTCTCTGTGAGTGGCTTTGAAAGTGGAGTAGGATCAGGTGGGACAGTTTGCCTGTATGTTCAAAATAACCCTCTTCTGCTTTTATTTAGTGAGACTGAATGTACTTAGGTTTAAAATTACAATAGGCTTAAAATTCCAAGCGGCCCTTCAATAGGTGCATGTGTTTAACATAAATTACCTGAGCACAAGTCCATTTGTTATGTGGAATACTATCTCTGCCTAGTTTTAAGAAATGAATAGCTGACATGATTACTAATTCCTTTTTGTATGTTTGTTTTTCTTTTCTTTTTTTTTTTTTAAGATTTATTTATTTATTAAGTATACAGTGTTCTGTCTGTATGCATTCCTGCAGGCCAGAAGAGGGCACCAGATCTCATTACAGATGGCTGTGAGCCACCATGTGGTTGCTGGGAATTGAACTCAGGACCTTTGGAAGAGCAGGCAGTGCTCTTAACCACTGAGCCATCTCTCCAGCCCTTTCTTTGTAGTGTAGTCTCCTAGAAATAGCCCTGTAGACCAGGCTGGCCTCGAACTCATAGATCTGCCTTCCTCTGCTCCCTGAGTGCTGGGACTAAAGACGTGCACTGCTGCCACCCAGCTACTAGTTCTTTTATGTTTGAACTTTAGACCTTTGCCCATCACTTTATCACATGCACATGTAACTGAGATTATTGTCTAATAAGTAGTTTGGAAATGAACAAGTAGTGCTGTAGACTGGACTATGCAGTTTGTATATAGAATTGGAAAAGGAAAATATGCTCATAATAGTTTATGACTTAAGTTTTATAAGTTATTAAAGCTTCTTTTCAAGTAAGGGATTCAAATATGTAGCCTAGGCTGATCTTAAATTCATGATCCTCCTGCCTCAGCCTCCCAAATGCTGAAATTAAAGGTATGTACCATCTCCTCTGCCCCCCCCCAACTTTATCTGTACTGCTGATATACAAAGAGAAAGAGGAAATGAATACTTTATTTTTTTCATTGTAATTATTTTGCAGATGGTATTATAGCCAAATGCCTCTTGATTCTTAAACTCAATTTCAAGAATAATTTTAGTGGTGAAGAATGCAAACCATGGAGGGAGCTGTTTCTTATACTAAAGAATGAAATGCAAACGCAAAGTTTTCTAAGTTATTTAATTCATAAATAAGAAATCTGGTTAATTGTGGTCCCAGATTTTACAAACAGTTTAGGTACCTTTGTGTTAGGAAACATTTGAAGTTGCCGAGTTTATAATTTTATGCTATGAAATTATTGTATATGATAATGAGATTGCTATAAGTGACGATATTAAATCTAAGAACTTGAAAAACAGAGAACCAAACTGATTAATAGAGGAATTACATCCCTATAAAAATGACTACCCTGTGTATTCATTGCTACCTAGCAATAGCAACAAATATTTGAAAACTAAATTGAAGAACAAGAGAATTATGGTTCTATTTACTCTCTTGTCAAAAAATTTCTATTTTTTTTTTCAAGGCAGCATTCTTTTACTTTGTAAAACAGTTGAGAACCCAAACAGCTAATTGGCATATATTCGAGGTTTAGATAAAGAGAAAAAAAGTTGTGTATGTGAAGTAATACAGTAGAAATCAAAGAACCTTAAGTCACGTCTGTCCAGCTGCCTTTTCTCCTTCGTGTCCTTTTCCCTCTTTGCTGATGATGTCTGTGTTAGCTGTTTTTCTCATCACTGACGAAATGCTGTCTGGAAACTGCTCAAGGGGAAGAGGTTGTTTTTGGTTCCTGGATTAAAGAATATGGTCCATCATGGTAGGGAAGGCATGGCATCTGGGCTCCACTGGTTCTATCTCACTGGCCCAGTTTACAGAGAAACTGTGGGCCACAGCTAGGCCCTGTCTCATTAAGGTTCCATAGCCCCCTAAAATGGCACTGCCAGCTGGGGACCACATATTTAGTACATGGGCCCTGAGACATTTCACATCCAACTAAAGCAACAGTTAAATGATAGTAGTTTGAAGCCCTCAAGTATTAGTCTAGATGCCACCCACTGAGTGTGGAGGGCTCCTTTTTACTATGTGATGGTACACTTTTTCTGTTACGCGCATCAAGTGGATTGGCACTTAGGATTAGTTGTAAGTGGTACATTGCTTGTTGTATATTAATATAGCATTTTTTTTGCTGTTGGTTGGTTTTCCTGATAGATGTTTGTGAATATTTTCTGTATCCCTAGAATAATTTCAACTTCTGTTGATTTGACATCAGTCTGAAATGAAATATAATCAGAAAGTAATAGACCATTGAGTTAAACACTTCCTATGCAAAATAACTTTAATTTGTAAGATTGTTCAGTTAATTTATATATTTATAAACTACAGGGTAAACTGAGAGCAGTGATATTATTCTGTAGATGTCACTTTAATGGTTAAGAAGCATTTTAGCTTCTTTGTCCTCTTTTGATTTGTTTCCTATAAAAGCTATTTATTTCTGAAATGATTCAAACTTGAAAAGAGAGAGATCGGGAAAGAAGGAGCTAGACAAATGAGGTAGACATGTGTTTTGAAGAGCATACCCCAGTGATCTGACTTCTCACCAGTCCCCACAGGTTCTGTAGCTGTTAGTAGTCCCACATTGGGGACATAAAGCCATTATCCAGTTGGTCTTCAGGGTATATTATAGATCTAACTGTAGCAATATAAAAACTGTAATTTTCTATCTCAGAATTCCTGTGCATTTCAATATAAATTATGTACTATGTTAACTGAACACTA